AACATGCTTGGAGAGTTAACATTTTTATGGTATGGGCCTACTCTCATCTCAGTACTGACTTCACAGAGTCCCGAATATTTAAGTCTCTTATAAAATCCCATCAGGTATAGAAAGTCAACAATTTGACCACCATTTGATGCCTTGTGGACCTTCCTGTACTCCTGCTTAGTGGGATGAACACGAAGCTTAGGAAACACCACTGTGGAGCGGTGGAATAGCATTTTATCTTAGTCCTCTCAACCCATGGGTAAGTCTCAGTACTCTGTCACTGTTCTAGGAGCTGCCTGCCCCAAAATGACTTGACACAAGTCAGAAATAGTGCTGGGATCCCACCAAGTCAGTTCACTGTAGCTGTTCCTTTGCTGTCTTTAGAACTGGAACTCAGGGTGGTTGGGTCCAGAAGCAGAGGATCATGGTAGCAGAGCCAAAGTTTAGTCAGAGTCCAAGCCTGTCATCAAAATTAGTGGGTTTTTTGTTTTTCCTTTTGGTGGTGGGGATCAGCACAGTAATATTTAGCACATGCTACATGGTAGGCAGTATGCCAGGACTGGAGATACAGCAATAAACAACGTCTGGATTTCATCATTTTTGTTATAACCAATGTTTTTAGAAATGTATCCAAATTGAGAGGAAATTGGTTTTGAAATCAGGAGTATCAAATAAGGGACACTAGAGTTAAGCCACTTAAGATTTACAACTTTTTACTCAGCATTCTCAAAGTAGGAAATGAATTGTTTTAACAAGTTCAATCTCTGTGCACATTGTTAGCTTTAAAGATCTTGCCGGGAGACTGGGGATTGGCCCCTGGGGCCTCCGCCCTCCAGAGCACACTCATGTGCAGGACCACCCCCAGCAACTAGTGTTCATCCATTCTAAAGCTATGATTTAATTTGTCAGTGACCGCTTGCCTAGAAGCCAATAGATTTGTTGGTGTTTCTTAGTGAATTTCCAAATGTGCCAGGTTACCATGTATTCAACAAACAAGGAAGAGTACTAAAGGTGTTTCGGTTTCTCACTTGAATATCTTTGATCTCAAGCAAGTCATTTGTTTAGGGAAGAGCAAGATGATACATTTTAGATGCTTTGAGGAAGTATGTGGAAAAAACAGGAATCATCAGGCAGAAGAACTGAGCAACTGGGGCTGGGGTTGTGGAAAGAAGTGTAAAGAGGATGGAAGAAGGGAGGTTGGGCATAATCACAAAGGTATTTTATAGAAATGCCAGTGACTCCCATTTTATATAATTAACGGGTTAATATATGCAAACTTAAGGAGTTAAGGCAGCTAAAAATGTGCTTGGGTGCTTGTTCTGAGTGCACCTAAACTCAGATGTGTACATTTTCAAATAGTGTGTGAGGTGCAAAAAGGCAACAGGATGGATGGAGTGTGGGGAGAAGGAACAGATGGAACTGGAGGGCCGAAGGATTGTTCATTTCAGTAAGAAGGTCCAGATTTGAGAGCAAGGGATAAATGGTAAAGCTGTCTAAGGAGGACATGCTAAGTACAAAAAGATGAACTCCATTACCTCCTTTTCCTCTGGGGCTCAAGCTCTATAAAGAAGTTCAGTTTCCCAGCCAAGGACGTGGCGGATGAGCCCAGCATCCCAAGGAGGCAAATGCTGTGACCACCGACAGGGGCCCAGGATGCAGAAGGTGAGCTGTGCAGCTTCTAGGGAAAGATGGTGGAAGGAAAACAGCTAGCTGGGCCACTTCTGCCGTGGATCTGTGGTGCTCTGGGGATGGCTCTAGTACAGGGATGGAGAGCCTCTCAGAGCTTTCGGTGATACAAACAGCCCACTGTAGCACACATGCCATAGGTTCCCCCACCACCCTGGGCTTTTCCCCCAACTTAGGTATCCACAGGAGAACCGTGTTTCAACCACTGGAGAAAACGCTCATTTCTGTTGTTGGATGAAAGAATGATTCATTGCAGATAACATACACATGTGAGGCAGGAACAAACAGCACTCCACAGACTTTTTAGAGCTAGATTAGACCTTATTGGCCAGGTTCACCTGCTCATTTTACAATAAGGAAAAGGACAAGGGGCAGTGAGGTGAGTCACCTAAAGCTTCTGGCCAGTTAATGACATAGCAAGGTTAGAAGGGAGGTTTCTGGATTCGCAGCTCCAACACAGCCTTTCCCGTACTGTAAATGACTTTTGCTTTGCAGTAAATGTTTATTAGCCATCCAACCACCAAAGACCTGTAAATGTGTGGGATCTGTGTTAAAAGATCTCAGTCCTGAGGATAACATAAACAAGATTTACCACAAATTCCAGAGGGAAAACATACTTAACTTCAGTATATGTATATATGATTCATCAAGAAACACACTTGTGTGTCTGCCACTTTCCTGTGGGGAACAGAGGGCTTGGGTTCTATGACCTGATAAGCAGAATCCCAGCATGTTACAAATACGCTATCTCCCAAAACCTTTCAGTTCAAACCTTCAAGTATCCAGGTGAGACCAGCAAACCACTGGTAAGCTTGCTTAACTTAAAAAGTGCCCTTAAAAAAAAAAAAAAAAAAAAAAATAGTGCCCTGGCCTGGGGAAGTGGATATTCAGATCAGCTGAAGGAACCATGGGCAAGCTGGGCCCACACAGAAGTAAATATACTTTGTAGCTCTCCTGGGTTCTGCCCTAGATGAGGCGACAGCACAGCAGGAAGTGCACCCAGACTTGGAGGAGCCTAGAGTAACAAAGTGGGAAGACAAGCTCCTGCCAGCTCCACGAGGTTCAGGTTTCTTTCATCACACAAGGACCAAAAATCTCAATCTGCTTCCTCAAAGGCCTCTGACTTGAGTGCTGGCAGCCAGAATCATTTCCTCAGCTGTCCCCACTCTGCCCAGTCCTCTCAATTCCAGGTCACCATTTCACAAAACGACAGGGGAGCAAAGCTGTGCCATAAGCCACACAGGCTGGATGACTGCAGGCCTGGCAACTTCCACTACTTCTGACACTTTTGCAGCAAGTTACAATGACCATATGCAAGGTGCCTATAAGCTTTTAAGTGGATGATATAAAGCCCAGTTTTAGGCAGACAGCTGGCTTTATGGGTGCTTACTGGGTTTCCTGCTTCAGTGAAAGTCACAGTACAAAGGAGTGGTTTTAGGGGCCACGGGGCAAGTATGGCAGGCAGGACAGAGTGGACAGGGCCCCTGCCATCATCTCTTTAAAGTACTTTCGATCTGTGTGTGTGCATTTCTACCCTTACAGGAGGGAAACAGGAATCAAAGTCTTTCTCTGGGGCAGTCACTCCACAGGCTGAAGACATCGGACCGTTGGGGGATGGTTCAGTGATTGTGGGGGTATGAGAGGAAGAAAATCACAAATCCAATCCGCCCAGGATTCATTCTGACATTAACCAGCACTTGTTTTCTCATAATTAACTCCCACTTGTGCTGAGGACCTCACACTGAAATTCAAGCCCATTAAGATGCAGCAGCAGCATTTGTGCTGCAAAGGCCACGCCCCACTCTAAATAGGGGGTCAGGAACTCTGGTGCCCTGCATCAGTGGTCAAAGGGGTCCTCCAGGTGTGTCTGATGCCAGCTCAGGTTTAAAGCACTGGAAGAGAGCACACACTGCACCCCCAACTCCAGCTGTCGGCAAAGGTTTAGTAGCACCCATGAATCTTCAGCTCACACCCTGACACGAGAATGCCGTAAGTCTCAGCAGTTCTGAGGGAAAGGGGAAGATATTCCATGTACACCACAATGAAAATGCCATCTGTTCATCTTGAAACAGGGAAATGCAAACCATTTGCCACCTTCTCTTGGCTTCCAGCGTAAAGGTTATTTGTTCACTAATTTATGCTACTAGCTTTGTGTGGCACAGGCGCACAACTGGAGAAACAATGGTCTTAAATGTCGAAAATGTGTGAATGTGAGCTCTTCCTTCCCCTATACACGGTGAATCCATCTTGGTGTGCTCTTACATTTTGTGGCCTGTGAGCTCACAATGTTCAGAGCCCTTCTGGATTTTATTTTTTTTTCCTTTTTTTAAGTTTTCATTTTTTATCGGTACCAGGGATCGAACTCACGACTGCCTGCTTGCAAGGCAGGTGCTTATGCAGCTGAGCTAAATCCCCAGCCCCTAGGATTTTACTTCTTATCCTCTTCTGCAAGGAGATAAAACCTGAGCTTTATTTTGAATCGGGAATGCCCGTGGTCCCTAGTGCATGGACTAGGAGAGGGTAGACTTCCAGTGGGACCTCTTCTGGTCACTGCAGTCATCCTCCGGAAGGGATTCTGGGACCGTTTCTTCCTGTTGCTGATTCCTAGCCAGCAGTACAGGCTACCACCACCATACATTCCCACCTGGATATATGCACTGTCACAGACCCAAACCAACGGGACCAATGGGTCACAGGCTGAACTCTTCAAACTAAACCAAAACCCCTCTATTTTCCTTAGATATCCATTACAGCAATGAAAAACTAATATACCTGTCCTTCCACATGCACCTCATGGCCCATCAAGTTACCCAAGAAGGATAGGAGTTGACAAATGCTTCGTTTCTGGTCTGTACTGCTTTGCTCAGGAGAGAATGACCACTCAGATCACAGGTCATTTCAAGAAAAAAAAAATTAAACTATTGAAATCTTGGCCATTGTTGGCAGTGCTCAAATATACCTTTTTACCTCTATAGCAAGTATGTTCAGCGATTGCAAATAAATGAAGTCCTCTCTTCTGAGAAACCCGACCTCAGAAGCTGTACAACTTCCCTTCTCCAGGGCAGCTGATGCAAGGCCTCCTCTTCTCAACCACTCCCACCCTTAGTACACAGCAACCTGGCTGAGATGCTAAACCTAATCAAACCCTCTAGCAAAAAAGAGCCCTTTAATGCACGTACACCACCAGACTGCCAGTAGTGTTGTAGACCTAGATAAATGACTGTGTGACCCTTCCCAAGAATTATAAATTATAGCTCTGCCAGACTTTGAAAACTTGTAGGCCTCAGATCTAGAGTTAAAGCAAACAAAAAGTCTACTGCTTATACTTTTTAAGTATTAACTTCCTTTTCATAATTTACTGCAATTGGAACAAAGTATAACAAAGTATACAATGTAGTAATTGTACAAACATTAATTTAGCAAGGATATTGGTTACAGCCACTAAAAATGAAAGCTCTACATACTTTTCATTGCCGCTTCCATGAAAAGCTCAAGTAATAAGTCACTAGCTGAAAAGTCACAAGAGGAGCAATTTAAACTTTTATATACAGCAGAAAAGGTCACTGTTCCACAATAATACTGCAAACATGATCGCTCAGGTGCCCAGGCTGCCTGCAGAACTGGAATGTTTCTCAGAGTCCATCTTCTACAAGACACATCGGCTTCCCAAGACCAACACTTGAAGCATTAGATGGAATAATACAAAACAAGGACTTCTTTATTGTTTATACAAAACGTAATTTAAAAAAAATTAGGATTCAATAATTGCTGACCCCCTGAGGAAGCTAAGAGCTTTGTGGATCTGTCAAAGAGCTCCATGTGTTGATTCAGTCACTAACCTCCTGGCCACAGGAACAAGGCACGACTCCAGGGCCATTCATGTGGCTCTGTCACTGGCTCTCAAAAGCCTGCTTCGTTAGGCCTGCTGAGCAAGCCACAGTTTCCTGGACAATGTCAAAGAACACTGTCTTCTCTGGACTGAGCTAGAGTGTTTTATCAGTATACAGGCTGATTTTCTTTACTTCTTGAACACTTTCAATAAGCCCCTAGCATAAGAAGCTGTACTGTTATAATATATACACATTTGATACAGTTTTTAAAAAACTATCTAGATTTTTAAACTAAATAAATTAAAATGTCTTCAAAGAAGTTAAAAGTTGGTTTAGAGAAATGCTATTTTCCTTTCAAAACAGTGTCTCCACATTCTTGAGTTCCAAGAGCGGTCACAGACTTGCTAATGCTGTACTTCAGTCACTGTTAAGTATAAGCAACACGAAGGATCTGCTATCGTCCTGAAAGGTTTTGAGCATGAAACTCTTAAAACCTAATGCTCAACCTCAAGCTACTGCCAATCTAGACAAACATTGATATTTGGCCAATAAGCCTCTCTGAACAAGTAGCCTACAGCAAAGAATGCAGTGGTTTATCTTCTCAATAGAGAACTATTCAACACTGCTTAGCATATTATTTTGGAGTTTGAGAATAAAACTCTTCTCTTGAAGAAGCAGGTCCCCTCTGAAGAATGTTAGTATCCCCAAGTCAAAACAGACCAGCACCAAATGAATTATTAGTTTACAAAAAATAAACTTGGCTCTTACAAAGTTTCTGTAACTCAGACTACATTAACTATAAAATCAGAAGTTGTCAGCTACAATATAATTTTAAAAATTCATTTTTAACCCATCAGAGGCGAGGCATTGGACAATCTCGCACTAATCACATGAACTTCATCATTTCATTGAAAGACAACACCTTTTCCCCAGCTTGTATTTGCTTTCATAAGTGCACCACAGATTATCCTCTGTGCTGCATCCAGGCTATGAATTCCCATGGCAGGGAAAGTGTTGAGTGTTCTGGTCAGAGGCGTTGGGATAGAAAGCCCAACTTCTCTGAAAAGCCAAACGCAAGCAGTCATGTCACTGATTACATCTATTCATCTTCCATGAGACACTGCATCAAGATTTTTTAATTCAGATTTTATGTTAGTCCTTTAGAACCCAATGCCCATGTCTGTAGTTGAAAACCACCAGGCTATTCAAGATGCTTTCTTGGTGCATGTCCCTTGGAGGTCTTGTAAATTTATCTTTGACCTACAGCAAACAAAAACAAAAACAGTAGTAATCACAAAAGCACAGGAATGCAAAATTTTAATTTGGGAGTACTGTATTTAAAGATTAAGTTTTCATACTGTATTTTTATACGTATAGGGAAAACATGGTTGTCTTACCTGTTGTGAATCATGTGACTTTTGACAAGATGCCCTGCTGCCAATGCTGCCATCAGTGACAATTCCCCAGCCATGACAGTACCACACACTATTCTGGCAAGCTGCCGGGCATTTTCCCCAGGATTGTCTACACATGCTCCTTGGACACCTAGCATCTGTTGTCAGAGACAAAGATTCACCATTCAAGTCAAGAGCAGTAATTACACAAAATCAAAGCAATTACAATGGCATTACAACTCAACTCCACTGGAAGTGGAAACTTCCAAGATTCGCCAGACAGGACTGACAATTAGAAAACCAGAGTTAATAGCACCAGCAAGTTGACTGGCAGCACACGCTTGTTTGCTCTCTTCATCTACACTCGATTTGTGAAGCACATGACTGAGTGAGCTATGCTCATGTGACATGCTAGGTTACGCTGGTAGGAAACAAAGAGCAACAGTGCAGGCAAGTGTGGAGTGGCATGTACTGTCAGGCGCGAAGGGAGGGGCCGTTTCCAAGCTGCTTTCCGTTTCCTGGGCTGTGCCTGGGGGTCCTACCTGCAGACAGGCTTGCTGAGGTAAGAGGTTGGTCCCGCCACCTACAGTTCCTATTTCTAAAGAAGGCATGGTGCAACTGATGTACAAATCTTCATTTGTTGGACCACTGGCTTCCATTAAAGTAATACAGTTTGAACTTCCAACATTCTGTGCTGCATCCTGGGGCAGAGAAAATACACATATACATACATATACATATACACACAGATAGATACACACACAGAGAGAAACTACATTTGCTTTACTTAGAAACAGGCTGGAGCGCTCACCTGTCCACAAGCAATGTAGATAGCAGTGACAATGTTGGCTGCATGAGCATTGTAGCCACCTATACTCCCAGCCATGGCAGAGCCTACCAGGTTCTTATTAATGTTCACATCAACCATTGCTTCTGTAGTCGTCTTTAATACCTACAAAACAATTGTGGACATTTTACAGCTTCCTCCAGGAGATTTGGGAGAGTGCTACCCACACCTACCTTTCTGTACCTCTCTGACAGATATGGCTCCATATGAGCCCTATCCTCAATAACAAGAGTTAGTCAAGTCTGTTTCTGTGAACGCCACATAAAGACCAACAAGGTACAATAAAACAGGTGCCTTTAATGGAAAATATAACTGCACTAATGTAACTTTTTAAAAGTGTTAATATTCCTTCCACTAATTTGCTTAACCCAATGGAAGACTGCAAAACTTACAAGCTAAGATATTCATTCAGTCACTCACCTCTCTGACAACCTTGGCTGGAATGACAGCTTCACAAACAACCGTCTTTCCTCTTCCCTCGATCCAGTTTATGGCTGCGGGTTTCTTGTCTGTACAGTAGTTACCGCTCACTGCTAGAACCTGCATCTCAGGGAAATACTCATGCAGTTTCGAAAGTGCTTTCTCAGTGCCCTAGTGAAAAGCCAAAGAGGTAGGGGAACACATTGGAAGACATGGAGCAAAGGTTAAAGACTTTCTGTGTACCAGTTAAACATTTCTAAGTACAACTGTAGTCCAGACAAGCATAGCACAAGGTAACAGCCATCCTTTTAACCATTCCAGTGACTTGACTTCTCAGGGGTGGAGTCCTGATGTATTTCTTTATGAAAACCACATTATTCTTAGTCATTGATGAACAGGATGTTGAGGAAAATAAAAATGTTCAAAATGCTCACTAAGAATGTAAGAAACATTCATATTCATATTCCACTACATAGTAACTCAACCCAGAATCAACCTGTAATAAATTATCTCTTCTAGTTAGTAAACTGTTATTTGGAAGTCCAGGTTACTAAGTTGATAAATAAAACTAGGTGACTAAGTCATCTTATTAATGGAGGATCACTGGATTTATATCACATAAAATATAAATAAGCCTTCCAATGAACTAACAGCCCACACGCCAATACTCTGAAACATATCTACTAGAATTTAAAACAGTATTTAGTAGTGATAAAGTACATATAAAATATCTTAACCATTTCTAAGGAGACAGTGGTCAATCTGCACAAGCTTCTTTCTAGAGCTCTTCTATCTTGCAAACCTGAAATTCCACAATGCAATGATGCCCCTTCGCCCGTGCCCCCTCATAGCCACTGCTCTTTCCATCAACCTGACTATCTAGCTGGCTCAGTAGAACAGGAAGTATCTTTAAGGGACAGGCTCACTTCACTTAGCACGTTCCTCTACAAGGTTCAATCATTTTGTGCATGCATCAGAATTCCCTGCCTTTTGCAAGCTAGCATTTTTTACATGTATCCATTTCAGTTGTCCCTGTATAGACCAACGGACACTTAGTTTACTATTGCAAATAATGCTACTGTGCAAAGGGTTGTACAAATATCTCTTCAGGACCCTGTTCTCAAATTCTTTTTGAAATACACCCAGAAATACAACTGCTGAAACAAATGGCAATTTGATTTTTTGGTTGCTGAGGAACTGCCATAATGTTCACCAGCAATTTTTAAAACTTACACATTTAGCAACTCTCCTTTCCCTTTAATAATACTTATAAACACACAAAATAAACTACAGCTTGACCAGATGATTTTAACATTTTATAATTATTTCTAGTAAATAACAAATTATCAATAACAATAATATAAGCTACAAACTCCTTAGGAAATGACTAAAGTGGACGTGAACTGTACTTACTTGTTTTCTTCGTTTTTCGTTTTCGTTTTTATCGGTACCAGGGATCAAACTCACGACTGCCTGCTTGCAAGGCAGGCGCTTATGCCGCTGAGCTAAATCCCCAGCCCCCCTTACTTGTTTTCTTAAAGACAAGCCTTTTAAATTGCTACAAGAGGTCAGCTCTATGCATGATTGCATAGTTTTGTTTTGTTTTTTCTTCCTTTTTTGTGTTGGGAACGTGCTAGAGGTTGAACCCATGGCCACACATACACTGTAAGTGCACACTCTCACTTCTCCACTGAGCTGGACCTCCAGCGCTACCCTGTTATTTTATGGGATTTCTTTTTGCTACAGTTTTGAGGTGTTAACCCCAGAACTCTCATCAGCCCATCTGAAGAGACTTAGAACATGTCAAGTCTACATTAAATATATATAAACAACAACAATTAACAAATGCCTGAGTTAAAGATCATAAGCTCTATCAATGAACAGTTTACTTTTGGCAGATTTTCAAATCCAATGACTATGTAACATACTTACAGACATAAATGGCAAACCTGTTCTTAGCCACCCAGTTCCTCTCTTCTAGGACAATCATTCTTATAAGTTCTGTGTCTACCCCTGTATCTTTTCAGATACACTGTGTCCAGGCTCACCTTTGAAATCATATTCATGCCCATGGCATCTCCTGTCTTCGACTGGAAACGGATATAAAGGTTGCGTCCAGCCATACTGGTGTGAAGTTTCTGTAGACGTGCAAATCTGTGAACAAAAGAAGCAAAGATTTTATTTCTTTCATTTAAGATGGGAGTGACCTTAAAATTTAGTTTAGTCTCTTCACTTCATCCTTATGAGAAAGCTCATCAAAATTACCTCTTTGCTTTTTTATTTCCCTATTGGTACCATGGATTGAACTCAGGACCTTCCGCTTGCCAGGAAGGTGCTGTGCTGCTGAGCTGTTTTTTTAATGAAGCAAAAGAAGAGAGATACTATTTCAACCCTGGTAACTCTTAGATGCTAAGGACGGGTGGGCTGCAGAAGTTAACTCTTGGTAAATTTTAAAAGTTCCAAATGAAAACAAACACACTGTCATGAATTATACAGGGTTATCATCTACAGTGATTATGCTTCTTCTACATTCAAATAAACCTGTTATACAAACATTTCTATCCTGCTTAGGAAGTTTTTTCCTCCAAAGATAATTCTTCCAGAGGGCAAAGTGGCAATATCATTAAATTTATTATTTCACATTTTTTATCAGTTTATCTCTAGAAGGGCACTGATTTGAATCAACATCCCCCAACCAACCATAAATATCGCTCATTCTAGATGAATGGATTCAAAGCTTGATTATGCTGTTATGTTAAGCAGGCAATATACAGAAAATAGCACTGGTTTTGAAATAAACATAGATGTACAAATAAACCCACTCACACACCTGCTGGTGCTATCAAAGGCCTCCTTTATCACTGCAAACCCTTCAGGGGTTTCAAGCCAGGCCTTCACTTCTGCAGAGTCACAAGCACGGGGAAGTCGCACCACGGGGCCACGAGTCATCCCGTCCGCAAGGACTCGGCTGCTGGCTCCTCCACCAAGCTACGCAGATTATTACAGAAACACTTATTAATCCTGAAAACGCTTCTACTTGTCCCAAAAGTTGTCCTTTCTCATATCCAAATCTGTTCTAGCTGCCTTGCCACGGGTTGATTTGTAAACTGGTAAATAAATGAATTCCAACTTACACTGATTGCTCTGCAGCCTCTGTTAGTGCTGGCCACAAGACAACCTTCTGTCGTTGCCATTGGAACTTGAAATTCTTTTCCATCCAAGGACAGAGGACCTGCCACTCCAACAGGGATGGGCATGTACCCAATCACGTTCTCACAACAAGCTCCCATCACCTGTAAGAGCAAGCCAGGCAGCAAATTAAAAGTACTGGACATGCACAGCTACTTGTCTCAACTTCCATCATTAACAACCTGCTCCATTAGTGTATTTTTCAATAAATTTACTCTGTGTTTCAAATACTGGAATCCTTAACAGTGATTGTAAAAACAAGAAAATATTTGAGTTTCTAAGGCCTACAGCATAAGTGGTTTACAAAATTACAGTCAAATACTTTAAAAGGGAAAATGTTTTATGTAACTGTACACAGAAAAACAACTAGTCAAGGAAAAACACTAAAACGCAAACTTAGTCTAATTGAGACTGTAACATACCAAGGAGTAATTATAATCCCGATAAGGTAAATACTGGAGAGAGGAAGGCTCTGCAAGTTTTTTGGAAAGTAACTGTCGGCGAATAGATACACCTCGTTCATGGGTTTCCATCAGAGTCTCCAATTTGTACGCTGGGATATGCTTTGCATTGACCAACTGGATGATCTCAGCATCACTGAGGAACTTTGCACCTTTCTAAAGGAACGAAAAGAAAACCGGCAGGGAGGTCAGACACAGAAATAACCTGAAGAACCATGCTTCATATTATTTTTCAAGCTAAATGGGAATACACAAATCTTTTCTATTACATTGTCAGCTTTTAATACAAAGATTTATCTGGAAAATAATTCACTTAATAGAAATAATGCCAAATGAAAATACTATAAAAGCTATCCTGGTAATTTTGTAATCCAGAGGCTTTATGTGGATTAATACACAGTAAAAAGAAAAACATGTGACTTTGCAAGAGTCAAGAAAGTGTGTTAGATGCTGCAGCTATTGTTCCAACTCAGTGAATGTTTTATAAGGTTTTATTTTTGACTTCTAAACAGGTATTCACATGTTAAAAAACTAAAAAAAAAACCTGGTCTTCCTCCTACTCATGTTTATCATCTGCCTAGATCTTTATCACTCACATTCAATCAAGTATGTGTTGAGTCAGAGAAAATGACTTTCCTCACCACCTTACAGTTACAGAGGCTGAATACGGTCTAGAAATCTAACAGTGACAATAGTTATAGATGTGGTGTGAGCTAGAAACCTGCTAAGGTAGATCTTAATGTTCTCGCAGGAAGGAAAGACTAACAATGTGGTAACATATTAATTAGCTTAACTGCAGCAATTACTGACAACATATAGATATAAAATAACCAAGCTGTACATTCTAAATTATACAGTCTTGCCAAGTATACCTTAATAAAGCTGGGGGAAAAGGGTATCTTGCAAAGAAACACATGAAAAAATTTTTTCAGCCAAAGAGATGGCTCAGTGGTAAAGGGCTTGCCTCACATATTTAAGATCCTGAGTCTACTCTCCAGCACACAAAAAAAGGGAGGTGGGGTGTGGAGGAACAACCAGGTATGGACAGTATGCGCTGTCTTAAAGCATAAATGGACCCAGACTGTCACAGAGGCAGAACATCCTGTCCAAAACTCAGGATGGAAAGCCACCTTCCTCATGAGTTTAAACTTACAAAACAAAACCAAAATTTTCACTGGGCATGGTGACACACATCTATACCTCTCACTACTCTGGAGACTGAGGCAAGAGGATCACAGGTTCAAGGCCAGCCTGGGTGAGACCCTGTTTCAAAATACAATTTATAAAAAAGAACTACATATGGCCCTGAGTTTGATCCCTGGTAGTGCAATAAGAAAATAAATAATTAAAAATTTTTAAAAGTCAAAAACCTCTCTCATGTAGTTCACATGTATAAACACTTTCCATGCCTTACCACACTCTGTGAGAAGAAGATAATGGTAGCTTAGCTGTATGAGAAACAGTAATAACTTTCAGATTTGGGCTCTGGAATCAGAAAATCTTGTACCATGCTCCTAACTTTACCATTTCCTCCATGTATTTGGGAAAATATTTAAACTTCTCAAGCCCTGGGATTCTCATTTGAAAAATGCAGACAATTCACTGGCCTCACAGGTTACGGTAAGGAACACAGAGGATCTGAGAAACAGTGCCTAGAACTCAGCAGTTTTTTCTTCCCTCAAGAAAAAAGAATAATTTTAAAGAACAATTTCAAACTTGAATCTATGTAATCATTCATACTTCTGCATTCCCAAGTATCTGCAGACATTCTTCAGCAGGCCGAGGCTCCCTGGGAAGTTGAATTTCAGGCTCCTGTGTCACCAGGTCAGATGGAGGATCAGGCAAGCAGGAGGTACCAAGAACAAATGTAGCTCTGTTTGAAGTGTCAGTGTCAGCCACTAAGGGTTTTATAACTTCAACTGTTGAAGAGATCAAAAGAAACCTCAAAACATCAAACGCAATTTATTTTTTTTATATTTATTTATTTATACTGGGGATCAAACACACAACCTAGTGCTCACCAGGCAGGCACTTAGGCCGCTGAGCTAAATCCCTAGCCCCAAACATAACTTTTTAATATAGACTCGTTATGACAAATCATCAATACGAAAACTGACAGTGAGTAAGATAGTACCTTTTCTTTCTTGGTTTATCCCTGTTTCTTCTTCCACTGACTGTAATTTCTGATTATTTCTGACAAGTACCGGTTCACGTCTACAACAACTGTCAGGGACTTTCTTTTGGGCCACCCCAGGAGATGTGATAGGGTTCTTCAATGACAGTGTAGATTCTGTCTCTGCTTGTTCAAAGAAAATGTATTTGACAGCCAGAAGGAGAGCTAAACTTAGGGTAATGACTTGCTCAATATCCATGCTGATCATTCTAAATAAAAGAAAGCAAATTAATGTTATTATCTAGCAGTATTAAAGGTATTATCTAAACTTACAGTAGCACAGAGTATTGTGATTAATGTGTGACCCTACAGATTTTAGGTAACTTACTTGGAGAGATAAAACTGCCAGAGGGAAACGCTTGGTTCAATTCTCTTGGGCGCATTTTCATCCAGTCCTAAAGAAACCTTAGGGTGCTCTGCAGTACTGTTTTGAGGTGAAGGATCAGCTATCCAGCGACTATGAGCATGAACAAGGACCAGGCCTAAAGACTGAAATAAACATTGAAGACGTATGTACCTTCTGCTTCAATTATGTATCCCTGAGAACCTAAACTTCTCATTACTAACCTCTAGACAGCCATACACTATCCTCCATGGCTCCCCCTTGCCACAAGAAAGCCACAGACTTTAGTCATGTGACTAAAGTTGTGATCTCATCGCTACAGAAACATCCCAAAGAACAGCTTTCAAAGATAGGCAGAGCTTGAAAAATGTCTTTAGGGTAGAAAGACTAATAATAACCAAGATACTTAAAAAGTACTGAGCCAAGTAAAGAAAAAGGCAAGACGACAGTGGAATATTATCGACAGAGGCAAAATTTTAAATATACAAAAACAGGAAGCAAAAAAAAAAAAAAAAAAAAAACCCAAAATTGTAAGAAAGAATATTTAGATCAAGGATATAGAAGTCATTACCATAATCATCTTGACCCTCTGAGTAACAGGATTTGGTTTATTTTCTTCTTCCTCCAGAACTCGGGCAAAATGGCTGAGCTGCCAAATTGGACGCCCCTCACGGCTCTCCCGGGAAAGCTGCAAAGTATATCAGTGTTACATCAGCAAGCCTCGCTGTGTTTTGGTGAACTGATAAAATGATATGTATTCTTTGACCAACTCTGCAAGTAATAATTGTTCTTACCTCCAATACCAAGGACACACAAGCTGGGAAAAAGGTCATGAACACGAAGTAGTTAGCAAGAACCGACATACAGCCAAAGCAACACATGATTTCAAGCTGACGGACCCCTGAGTGGAGAAAAATGTGATGTGTAACTAGAAAAGCACGTGAATTTTTGAGCCTGCATATACCACAAGGACTTCCTGCCAGTGAACACACACATGAAAATATCACTACCTTAAGCTATCTGCCATCTACAGGCAACAGAATTAGCAGCTTGAAGCTGAGGCCAAAGGCCTACAGAGCAGCGGAAGTAAAGAGAATTCTCAGTCCCTCGACGGAAGACACCTGTCTTCTCCACATATCCCAGTATCACGGCGTCAGGCCTCTAGAGGCAGTGTTCAAGACACCTCTGGTAAATAAGTTTGCACTTCACTTTGGTCGAATGGAAGTATCTCATTTAAAGACAAGAATGCAGAGGTCTGGGTACTCTAATGAAGGAATGTCTACCCCTCCAACTGATTCTCCTGACCTAATCTTATATTTACCAGAAAAGCAATTCACCTTTGATTCAAGAACTTTTTATGCAACTTACTGTCAGCTCTGCCATTCCTGGTACAGCACTAACATACGGATTTCTTGGGAACCACTCAATTCCAACTTCCACATAACCTCTGCAATGCCTACTATTGTTCTTATAATTTTGAGTTACTTCCTTGATCTGTTTGAAAGGATGATAGACTACAAACTAATTCAAGACTGAAAATTAACAAATATTTTACTATAAAATATCGAAAACATTGTCTGATAAACTCAAATAGAAGACAAAAATTGTAGAGACCAGGGCCAGGGGATTTAACTCAGTGGCATAAGCGCCTGCCTGGCAAGTGCAAGGTCATGGAGTTTGATTCCCGGTACCAAAAAAAAAAAAATACAGAGATAGGAAAAAAAAACTTTATATGAATATAAACCACCTCATGTTACTCAAAATAAAAATGTTTTGCAATACAAATAAAAATGACTCCCTTTTCCAATTAAAACTGCCAATAGAAAAGCTAGTATTAAAAACAAAGCATATTTTATTTTCTATTAGTAAGAGACCATTTCACTGAACAGAACAAAAGCACTATTACTACCTTTTTAAAATTCCAGGTCACTCTCAAATGGGGAAATTTGAGACTATAAAATTATAATAAAAGAATTATGAACCAATCTATATTAAAATAGTAGTTAAGGGGCCAGACTTTTAGCTCAGTGTTGCATCTACCTAGCAGTACAAGGCCATGAGTTCCTTCCCTGGTACCAAAAAATAAATTAATTAATTTTAAAAAATAGTAGCTGAATATAACCCTTTCAAATTCAAGATTACCAAAGCCATACTTGACCAACGCTTTTACAACTTGACCATCTATTATTTCTCTCCATGCAGCAGTGACTCCTGCTATTGCCGTGTGCACCCCACATATTTTGCCTTACTCTGGTCTCTCTGCACTTTTACTACACAAGCACAGCACCAAGTCATATGCATCGAAGAAGCAATTTACCCTTAGAAATTTAAAACAAACATCATATAGTTAATAAATTAGCCAGTGAAAAGACAACCAACTACTGCCTTCAAAGATCTTTTATTTCCAAATGAGGATGTTCCCTTAAGTGGAAATAGCAGTAGCTCACTAAGTATGATCTTCCCAAGAAGCCATGTAGTCCAGCCCAATGACTAGAAAGCCTCAACAGCAGCAGTATATATCCATTCCGGTGAATCTCCCTATCAGGCCACAATCTTTCTCTATTTAACATCTGACTCTCTATTACGCAAAGCTGTGTCAAGGCTAATTCTGGGTACTCGGTAGGATACACCGTTTGCTCATCAGTCTTCCCAGCTACTTTCTCTCCCAGGGAGATCTAATTTGGATCTATTCATTCCTGATTCTTGCACTGTCTCCTTGATAATCAGAACACAACGAACTTGCCATTAATCTGATCTAGACAACAGCAAGGGCTGGGAGGGTTTCATCTGCCCTGAAACACAATCTTGGTTAAAATCCCTAAAGTAGGGGCGGGCGGTTTAGCTCAGCGGCATAAGCGCCTGCCTTGCAAGTAGGCGGTCATGAGTTTGATTCCGGTACCGATAAAAATGAAAAAGATTTAAAAAAAAAAAACCCAAAAGTACAGAAAGTGGACAAGAGAGAGAGAAAACAGGCTAACCGTGAATAAGGCAGTAATCTTACTACATTTTCATCAAAGTAAAGAGACAGAGGTCAGATATACAAACACTCATAAAATATTTAAGTATTTAAGAGTAACATAAAAATCAGATTTAACAAACAATACATTTTTCTTTTGTGAAATGCTTATCTTCAAATATTAGAAGATGCTTACAAACCTGACATCGTACCAACTCCAATGACCAAACATTCCACAAGAGCATCAAGGGTGAATGTAGGACCTAAAATGGCCATTCCACGGGCAATGTTTTCCCTGACTTCATCCTAAAACACATAGAAAACTAGCAATAAGGGCAAAGTACAGGTAACTTGTAAAAATGTTAGACAGCTGGTGTGACAGTGCAGATCTATAATCCCTACACTCTAGGATATGAGACAGGAGGATCTAAAGTTCAAGCCCAGCTTAGGCAACTTAGTGAAACCTGGTCTCAAAATAAAAAATAAAGGTGGGTGCAGTGAGTACACCTGTAATCCCAGAACTATAGGAGACTGAGGTAGATATACCTCAAAGTTACTATATAGTTCAATGCAAAGGCCTTCAATCCAGAGTATTCCCCCAAAAAAGATGCAGAGTGAGCATACATCTTAGGACTTAACACTAAAATATAATTTACTATTCAAAGAATAAAATATTTTGCATGATAAAACTAACATGTTTAAAGACAAAAAGCATAGAGGATCAAACAAGACACAGTAGTCGACTTCCCTTACCAATGACTGACACACTGCTAAGAAATATGCCTTTGAGTTAGTGTCCTAATCCTGTCATTTAAATTCTACATAATTAAATCTTATAACATTTGACCTTTCGTTTGACATTAATGAAGTCATGTCATTGTTGCAAAATCTTTATCACTTCCTTGAATACATACTCAGTGATCATAAACATTGTCAAATATATAACATGGACTGTGCTAGTCTACCACTAAGCTACATCTCTAGCTCCATACAAGTTATTTCATATTCCAGATCCTCTGGTGCAAGATCACTAAATAATACTGTATTATTAAAAGTGACTAATGAACATCAAGATGAAACTTAACAGAATGCTAGTGTTAATTAAGGGGTTTAAAAATGAATCTACCCTAAGACTTAGATCTCATTAAATACTATCCTGCTCTCTGTTTTACTAGGTAGATACTCTTAGTACCCAAAAGTCATTTCACTTAATTTCTGAAAGGTCTGAGAAATGAAAAGAGGGGAATATTCAAATTTCTAGTCACATGGAATTACCTTTGAGTTGTGAGATAAATGGGACTATTTCTAGGGCACTTAAGTTGACCAAATCTTAGGACTTAAGAATTTTACTCTGAGCAATCCCTGACTCTTGGGTTATGAAGAAACTCTATTAATCCTTCCCCCTGACATAAACAAACTGAAAAAAGAAACAGTATCCACACTACCAACTTCGAAGTAGCACTCACCTGTGAATTCGAACTTAGGGCAAACTTGGCTAATGCGCTGGCTCTGGAGAGGTCAATCAGGAGCAGGAAAAAGGGCAGTGCTTCACTGAAACAAACAAGACAGTCAGGTTCATTTACCAGAGGAAAATAGATTCTAAAAAATCATTTGTAAAACAAAACTTCTGCCCATACCTTTTATGATTCTGTTATGGTTGTTAAAAATACTTTCTATGTTAAAATGCATGTTTCAGTTTGGTATTTCACAAGGAAGTACCATACTTAGCCAAAGAAATTCTGAATTACCACTGACAAAAACATAAAACATACAAAAGTCTTGTTCATTAATCAATGTGTAGAAGGATAAATTGAATACTTTCTAGACAGTAAATTGGCAACAATAACACTAAAAGAGATATCCTCAAAATGCACGGTTCTAAAAATACAAAAACATTACTCTACTCCTAGACACATAACCTGAGGAAATAATTGAATAAACAAAAAGTAGATTTAAAAGATAGTCATCGTCAGCGGCATAAGTGCCTGCCTTGCAAGCAGGCAGTCGTGAGTTCAATCCCAGTACCAATAAAAACGAAAAAAGGACAAAAAAAAAAAAAAAAAGGCATCAGTATTATTATTCATTAAGAAAACTATCCACACTACAAAATATTCATACATAATACTGCTAACAATTTAGTTCAAATTATAGACACAAAAAATGTTGATCAACTATGAATTAGACATATACATAAAATATCTCAGAAAATTTAAGTGTAAAACAAGCTGGAAAAAATACATACCAAAATGTTTAAATTTTTAAAATTAGTTAAAAATAAGATTATATGAAAAATTTCTCCAGATTTTCTCAACATTGGAAAATATATATACTACATTTCCATAATAAGGAATAAAAGTTCTTAAAAATGCATTTTTAAAAGAAAATACATTAGGTATTAAATACTTACTTTAAGCCTGTCAATTCCTTATCTAAGAAGTGAATGACAACTGTACTGAACACAAAACTTGAAAAAATTGTGAAGAGGCCAGCAATACCTGAAATGCAAAATTCAACAATGAAAAATCTTATTTAATGTTATTTAAAAAATAACATTTAGTCTCATACAAGATTCTGAGATTTTAAAAAAACAAAGAAAACAAACACTCCAAAAACAAAATCAGTATTTTCCTTCAGATGACTTAGGTCTCAAATTTTAGAAAGTCTAGTTCTCAGTAGTGAGAAAAGAAACCACTGACCGCATTTAACATGCTTTTGACCACACACATTTCCAAATACTTCATTTGAAAAAGAAGGTCTATTTCCATGGCAAATCAAAAATAGTCTGGCACTCAAAGAAGTGAAATATATAAAAGCATTACCCAAAATATATTTTGATCCAAGCTGACGTAAATTCTGGAACTGGAAGTAAATATACAGGATCGCTATGCATCGTGTTATTGTTAGAATTATAATGTCACTGCTCAAAACATCCTATTAAGAGAAAAGAAAAGTCCAATAGCTCTGACTTTTAAAACAAGGAATCAAAAATAAGAATTTTTATTCTGTATGTGTCATTAGTTTACATATCATAAAAGTATAGGTATAATCTGTACCAAACGAATTAGGACACTTTATCATAGTAATTTTTCACTGTAGTCACTTACAAAAGCTGTATTTCTCTATTTTCAGAAGAAACATTTCTAAAAAGTATTTCTAGTACATTGTATACCTTGCAAACATGAAATGTTAAAATAAAAATTATGGCTTTTCAGTTACATAGTCTCTAAAAGGAGACAGTCTTTAGAAATAAAAAATGTAAGTCACTTTAGCCAGTATCAAATTAACTTTACTAATACTAACCTCTTCAAATTTCGGACATTCGTAATTCCAGCCGCAGACCTTATTGTCACCAGTGAACATGTTCATGGACATCATGCAGATAGTCAGTGTGACTGTTCCCACGATGACTTCCCAGGGGTGGGAGGCCACGAACAGGCCATGCATGCGGAAGAGTCTCGACAGCATCGTGGCTAGAGCAGAACCTCGGGTCCTGGAAGAACAGCAAGTGTGAACACTAGTGCCCAGCTTGCTCATGGTGCTTATAAGAAAAAGGGTGAGGGAAAAGTGTGGTATCGTCAGTCCTGCTTCGTACAGTGTCCTGTCCCTGACCAACTGAGAGGATTCTTTATAATTCTGGAAAATAATTATAAAAGTAAACTAAAAGAACTGTCATTACTTCCTTTACTACTTAAATCCTTTACTACTCACATTTCTTAAAAACTTACAAATTCAAGCATTTGTGATAAACCAAATAAATACCTCACCCCATTTTACTATCCAGGCCAAAGAGGGCAATAAAGCTAAAAACAAAAAGTGAGAAATAAGCACTTAGATTTTCTAGACTTGGACATAAAACACCCTCTTTGCCATCCATATGCTGGTTACCAAAAGGTAAACACCAAAGAATCAATTTGTTAAGTGGCTTGTAAATCATGGTCATTTACAAGCTCCTTCAGGGCAGGAGTCCATTATACTATTTTCTTCTATTAAACACATTGAATGTCACCTATAAAATGAGGCTTAATCGATCTTCCTACTGTTGCTGTCACCAGAGAAAAGTCCTTCCTATTCTAACAGATGTTTCCACAATAGAAAGGGCCAAGAATTTTGCTGTGATGGCTTCTTTGCTTCTAGAATCATTAATAGGGCTGGAAGACCAATGGAAGAGCACTGAATGAGAAAGGCTCCTCAACTTTAAAACTAACCTAAACTCACGCTAACAATTGAATTTTTTTTTTTTTTAAATCGGTACTGGGAATTGAACTCACAACCACAGGCTTGCAAGGCAGGTGCTTATGCCGCTGAGCTAAATCCCCAGGCCAAACTAACCGAAACTAAGCCACAGGAAAGAAAGCCTGAAGTATATGTCTGTAACATTTAAAAAGCTTCCTCACAGAACTGGAAAAGAATTTTGATCTAATGACTACCATAACCATAGGTCCCCATGTTTGCTTACTAAACAATAACTATGCTATTCCGATTTTTAAAAAAGTCTTAGTCATTGATATCTACAAAAAAAACTTGCAACACTTAAGATTACACTAAAATTAATGTCTATCGTAAAATATATTAGTTATCTATAAACATCAATTCATGACTGTTACTCTAGCAAGAATCCAAACAAGCAAACCTCACACTCACTAAGAATGTGACCCATCTATTAAAAACAAAAAGTTCAGGGACAACTAAGTATAAGAAAGCACGATCTATCTAAATGGTTGAGAAATTAAAAAGGAGCTTTTAGGAACAAAACCAGTTACTTAGCACTTCCGTCTCTCACTGCATCACTCCATGTTCTCTACATTTCAACCATACCAGGCCACCACTCAATCACTGATGCTCAAACCGTAAGTCTCAACCCTTTCGCTGGAGTAATCACATCATACAATTATTTGTTAGTAAGAACAATCTTTTAAAAGTAAAATAGAAAATAATATAAAAATAACAGGTGAGTCACGTGGAATAGAAAGGTATTATTTCTCATAAGTTCTCAAAACTATATTTATTTTTGGTTCTTTGAGAGAGGGTTGCTATACAATTGAAACTGGCCTCAACCTCATAGCAATCTTCCTGTCTCAGGCTCCCAAGTTCTAGGGTAACAAGCACGTACCACACTGGCTTCCAACATACCCATATTTCTTACTGTGGATCATAATTTTAAAAGTCACAAAGATAGGGGCTGGGGATTTAGCTCAGCGGCATAAGCGCCTGCGTTGCAAGCAGGCAGTCGTGAGTTCGATCCCTGGTACCGATGAAAAGGAAAGAGACAAAAAAAAAGAAAAAAAAAAAAAAGTCACAAAGATATATACACGTGGCATGCACCTATGTCTATTAACGTTTTTTTTCAACTTCTATCCTGAATCTGATTTATCCTTTTACCTCCCAGTATCTAGAACTCATATATTTAGCATTGTTCAACAAATTGGAAATGAACAAAATGTTTTATTTAATTAGTAGGGACTTGGATTTAAAGTATTGGAAAGCTCTGAACATGGCATAGATTTGGTTCATACTTCATAACTAAAAGCTTCATCAGAAACTAAATGTTCATAATGATTTTTACTGCTTCTTTCTTACATTTAAAATAAAAAACAGAAGTTCTACAAAGTTGTCCAAAAACTCGCCTGCACCAATGTTTCAGAAAGTAAATTAAGCAGTTTCAAAACTAAGTCAAAATTATTTCTAACTCTCCAGCACCAAACACTCCTCCTTCAACTTAGATTCTTCCCAACTGACTCAATACTATTCATCACTATTAAATCAATTCAGTTGGATTAAAATTTGAATTGCTACCAGGAAGGAACACCAATTTGATTACAAATTGGTTTTGGGTGGCTAGGCATGATGGCACATGCCTGTAATCTCAGCACTCAAAGAGGCTGAGCCAGAAGGGTCTCGAGTTCCAGGACTTCAGCTGGGGCTACATAGTGAGTTCAAGGCCAGCCTGAACTGCAATAGCCAGACCCTGTTCCAAAAAACACAACAAAAAAGAAAAGATTTTGTGTAACTTGTAACTACATAATTAGGTATATATTCTTTTTTCTCTCAAAATATTTTCTGGGGTGGCACCATAAATTCTTCAATATTTTTCCCTAGTTGTAAAGGTATCTTTTCAACATTCTAGGAAAAAAAAAAAAAAAAATCACATATGACCCCAAGAACCATGCTAAAAACACAGAGAATGCGGCATATTGGAAAATAACTGAGCAGCTGTACAAAGATTTGTAAAAAGTAACCACAATTATAAAAGATCTCATTGGTCATGGGCACCCCGCCCTTTCCCTGTGATTATGCAAAGTTTTTGCATGCCATGGAATCCTTCTACCTGCATCAGCAGTTCCAAGTGGCATTAGCAGCTGCAGGTCAGCTCCTACAAAAGCAGCACATAGCATTTTATACCGTGCTGCAAGAGGAGGAGTAACTTTTACTAAACGAAAAACAAGGAATAAAGCAACTCATGCTTTGCTTATTTAGAATAAAATGTAACACAAACATTTCACAAGTTTTTTTTGTTCCAAATCATAATGAGACCAATCTGCTAATGAGACCACCTACCAATAGTGGAAAAGAGAATATCATAACTCTATGATCCTTTCCTCCCATTCAGCATTCTTTTGTTACACACGCCAGTATTTCATTATTCAGTGTCTTACAGTTCTCAAATTAACTAGTGAATACTTGTAGTCCCTTTGAAGGCAGGAGCCATGTCCTATCCTGTAATCACCTTTAATTCCAAAGCGATCTAGCAGGCTGCTCAACCTACCACTTTACAAAACCTTCGCCTGGCACTGGGAAAGCAGGAAGCCTGCTCTCTCCATCCAGTCCTATTACATGTTATTTCCGCTCCTGTTATTTCCGCTCCTGTCTTTATGCTCTTGAGAAGCTGGAGTTCCAACCTCCTCTGGCAAAGCACTGAATGTGACTATTTGAAAACTGCTATTTGTGTAGGTAAAAAACAAAACAAAACTGAATTTCAAATACAAGTAATTTCATCTGGACTCATCAAAGTAGATGCTGATTCCATAACATGGCTATCTGTCCACAATCCAGAAACCACAAGAGAATAAAGAACGCACACATGTTGCACACTCACACAAGAATCTTCATGTTAATACTGTAATCTATGCAAATTTTTAACCTTCCTGTTACCAATTCCCACTAGTCCTTACTGCCAAGGTTATCATAAATTCTAAAAAAGCCACTACAACAAAATAGTCTATCCATAAAGAACTCTCCAGGCCTCTACTACATTACTTCTAAATCAAAAAATATCTTATACTTCTTGTAGAAAAAATGAAGTTCACAAGTAAAAAACACAGCCACTATTTTGTAAGACATTGAAACTGCACAATTATTTAGTATGGCCCAGAAACAAATGTTTCTGATGACTTTGCAGGACCAAGTCTATGGATGCATATCCTCAATACTAAAATATCAGTAAGATCGCTTGAGATGGTATACATTCATAAACTTGGTAGTAAAAATCTTAGCACTTGGGAGGCTGAGGCAGGAGGATCGCTGCGAGTTCTGAGGCCAGCCTGAGCTGCGTAGCGAGTTCAAGGCCAGCCTATGCTACATAGTGAGATCCTGTCTCAAAAAAAACAGAAAAAGAAAAAAGAAAAAAAAATACATTAACTTCCTCCTCCTGCAGAAATCGACTATCAACTGTTTTACATTTGGACCTCCAAGGTACTTTTTTTATTTTTTCAGCCCAAACCAAACAATTCTAAACACAAACACCTACAGGGTTTAAATTACAGAACATCAGTACAGACGCTCCATCCAGTCTTCAGCTAAAATCCGGAAGCCGGGACTGCCCCTCCGCGGCTCCTGGCGCGCGCCACGGTGTCCGCACCCTCCCAGCCTGTGCCGGGAAAACGACCCGTCCAGATCGCCTGCGTCGCTCCTCCGACGCCGACGCCGGCAGCACAAGGGCGTGGCTGTGGGGACCCGGCTGACCCCGCCGGCCCTCCGCCCGCAGCCCTCACGGGCAGATGGCCACCGCGTCCCCTGCCCGACCCCGCGCCGCCTTGCAAACTGGCGCTCAGAGGGTGACAGCGGTCAGCAGCCCGGGCCGAGGCCGCCCGCCGGGGCTCAAGGGCGTCTCCTGCGGTCCCTGCCGTGCCAGCCGGCAAAGCACGACCGCAGCTCTCGCCAGGGCAGCGGGCCCAGCCGAAGTCGCTTCCCGCGGCACGGGGGAGCTCGAGAACGGCCACCGGCGCGATCCAGCCCCACGCCCACCCCGTTGCCCCGCTCCCCTTTCGCGGTCACCGCCCACCTCACCTCGAATCTCACTAGAGGCCACCGTACCCGCGGGCCTGCACTCCGAGTGTCTCCAGTCAACGGAGACGCGAAGCGGAAGGAACGCTGGACCTACGCATCCTCCGAGATACGACGCTGCGACCAATAAAAAAGGATCGTCCGATCGCCTAGCCAATCATTGGGCGGCTGCTCTGCCTGACGGTCTACGTCACGAACGGTCGCCTTAACAACTGCCCACAGCTCTCACCCTGGCGGAGAACCGGCACCGCACCACCTCTCACCACGGCTCGGCCAACCAATAGCCGGCAGAGTCCCGGCACCGGGGCCCGCCTATTGGCCCGCGAACCTTGGAGGCGCACGCGTGGGAGCCGCTTGGGCGCGCGGATAGGGGACGGCGGGTGGAGTGGCCGCCACCCAGGACCTGACGTGCGGCCCGCCCTGCTCGGAGCGGCTCGGAGGAAGCGGGCCTAGGAGCTTAAGAGGGAGTCTGACCAGGCCGAGGGCAGAGCGCTCCAGGGTGAGAGACCTAGGATTCGAGGCGGCTTCGTGTAAAGAGGAACCAGAACGCGGAGGCGGCTGCGCCCCGGCGCTCCTCCTCGTGCCTCGTGCGTCTGCCCGCTGTCGCTCTGCGCTAATGCGTGGGGCCGGCCCGGCTCACCTCGCTCTAACCCTGGTCTCGCTCGGGCGTCTATGCCTCCCTGGCAGACCGGCCTCTCATCCCCCGAGACTCTCCGGTCTGCGGGCCTCTCCCACCCCGCGCCGGGCTCAGCACCGGGCGTCTCCAAGAGACGCTTTTCCCGGGTTTGTGGGCCGCGCCTGAAATGCCAAAACCCTGATTATACCTCCAGGACCACGAGTGCGCCTCTTCCCTGATTCCTTTGAGCATCTGTTCTCTCACACTTCGCACACCTACTTCCGTACTGTCCTGGATTTACGTGGCAATTTCTTCAGGAGAGCAGTGTGCATCCCTCAATTTTAAGATCCCGAGCAAAGCATAGCGCTGTTATCCCAGCGCTCCAGAGGCTGAGGCAGGAGGCTTGTTGCAAGTTAAGAGACCAGCCTGAGCTACAAAGTGAGCCCAAGGCCAGGCTAAACTCCTTGAAGACACCCTGTCTCAAAAAGACAGAATAATAATAAATAATTTAAGAGCCCATATTTTAAAACAGTGCCTGTGAAATACTATATAGTCAGTATAATTTTATAAATTTAACAGCATTTTTTTGGTACCAAGAATCAAACTCACGCTTACCAGGCAAGGGCTTGAGCCACTGACCTAAATCCCCAACCTTAACAAATTTAAACTATTCTGTTATATTTTTATTGTCTTTATAAAATAGGTATTTTTCTCATTTCTAAAAAGAAGAAAAAGATGACCATTTGTTAACTTGATGCAACTAAAAAGATTAGAACCCAGATCTAAAACTTAGGCTGGTTCTCCCTGTATTCCATGGCTGTAGCAGAGCATCTTTATTTGTATCTCTATTAAATTATTTGAGATATTCACATGCAGGACACTGTGGTTGGCACTGGAGATACAATATAGCAACAAACATGACAGACGTGGCTCTTTATTTTGTGAATGTTACACAGAAAAGAAAACTGACGACTGGCTAAAGATTGCAATTTCATCAGAAGGAAAATTTTAAAAAGGAAGTAAAGAGTATATAAATACCAAGACGCTAGAAACTCCGTGGTATTTTTGAATCACTCTGTAAGTCTAAAAAGCCAAGTGTCTGAAAATTAAGGTACAAGTTGCACAAATACTAAAATTTAAGTAATTGTAGAATTGTTAGACAAAGCCACACCAGGTATGGTGATACACATCTGTAATTCCAGAACTTGCAAAGCTGAGACAAGAGGATGGCCAGAGTTCAAGACCAGCCTGGGCTAGAAATAAGTGAGTGAGTTCAAGGCCTGCCCTAACTATGTAGGGAGACAACCAAAGCAAAACAACTACTTCAATAATAAATAAATACAATAAAAGGCAAGACTATGATTTGGAAGCTTTCAGACCCCAAATCTGCTTAATTGAGCTCAAAAGGAAGCAACAAAGAAACTGATTATCTCGTGTAGTATTCTTAAAGCAACTTTTATCATTCCCAAAGTAGCCTTCAAAGGAATTGTGACTGCATGTAACTAATAATTCATACTTAATGAGATGGCAAAGTTTGGCCTGAGCATGCTTAAAGATGAGAAATCATGACAAGTATTAGCCACTTTTCTAAGTACTTTTGACTGATCAGGGATAAAGCTCCAGAAATGGAAAAATTACGTAACTTGAATAAAGCCACATAGCAGTGGAAATAGATCTGAAACATGAACTCTGGAATCTGGCTCCCAACACCATCCTCCTTCCATTATGTAACATGTACTACTTTTTGTTAGAACATATTGTTTGAATTCTGATGCTTTATTGCAAAACCCTTTGCATAGTGTCACAAGTTGTACTTTAATTCCTATCCTAATTCCCAGATGCATTCAAATTTATATATTCCAGCCCTGGGCAGGACCCCCATCCCCTTTGCTCTCACAGTTTTTAAAAACAATTTTGCTTTTTCTCTTTTAAATTTGAGGATAAGTTTTTAAGCTAGTACATTGCAAGTGATAATTGGTCAGTGTTTAAGAGACACTATGACTGATTATCACTCCTGGTAAAGCTCAAGAGATGTTTAGTGCGTGCTTATTCAGTGCTGTGCAGAAGGTTAGGTCCTCAAGGGATGGAGTTAAGTAAAGTGTTTTTCTTATATTGATCTTTTCCAGACAACATAGTAAATGTTCTGAATGAGGTGAGCAAAGGGTCGTGAAACTAGTTAGGGCTGGCTTTGAACATGGAAGCTGGCACAAAGCCTTGGCCACGTACTAAGGCTAACACTGTGAGCATGAAAATGTAGGTGATGCAGCTATAGGAAAAGAAACTTTAACTGGAGAGAAATTTTAAAATAGTATAGCATACAAAAGATTTCAAAGATGACATGGTCAGATAAGCAGATCTCACATCTGTGCTGCTGACATTTGATGTGGGCTAAAACTCTCAGTTACTGTTCTTCAGTAACAAAACTGAGTATTCTTATCTCCTAATGCCTCCAAAACCAAAAGGAGTACTGATGTCTCCCGTGAAAATGGGAACAAAGGTCTCTAAGGACAGTGTGCACCCAAAGGTCTCTGCTGCCACCTCAGTCTGCATTCACTGTGTTTCTTGTTTGTCTTATTCCATACTAGAATAATTTTCCCCTTGGGAAGATGCTCACCCGATGTAGAGATTGGTATGTGTATGATGGATGTAAAAGTTCATTCTTGAGATTTTTAGGAACTTTTGGCAAAGGAGATTGAGTCACAGAGGAATGAGTGACAGAGAAGGGATAGAACGAAGAATCCAGAGTGAGCACTGCTTCCCCCTCCACAGCAAACAGAGAGGAGAGCAAGCAGACTGCAGAGGCCAGACTGAGCTCTGCTGCCAGGTCCCTTGCTGCTGTTCACCGTTTTTCTTTCAGTCCTAACCGGTCCCTCTGGCGGACTAAGACAGGCTCCTAACTTTGTAAATTCTGATGGAAAAAACAGAAGAAAATGCGGGTGTAGGGAGAACACACTGAATAAGATCTCAATAGGCAAATGTGAAACAGAACTCTCCTCAGCTTTCCTGAGAAACGCCACTGAAGGAGAAATGAAAAAGCAGTTGCTCTTGGCAATACACAGGGCGGCAAGACTTTAACACAGCACCACTGTCACGTACAGGTAAAATTGGTCTTGTGTACAGTACTCTAAGTAGATCAGCTGCACAATGCAATCAGTTTGACTACATCTAACAGCAAACACCAAGCAAAAGTGGCTAAGTCAAGGAAAGCATCTGTTCCTTTCTTGAGTAAAGGAACGTGGCAACAGGTAACCTAGGATGAGTATGACAACTTGAGATGCTTTCAGGAAATTTTCTGTCTCTCTGTATGCTCCACTGTCAGTCTCACTTGGCAGCTGGAGCCCCAGCCTTCAGTCCTCAAAGAAGGAGGAAAACAAAAGCAGAAGGGCAAAACAAAAACAAAGCCCTTCACTGCTAAGTCAGGACCATTTTCACAGTTTGAATCTTGTAACAGGACTACAAGGTGGTGCTCAGCCACGTAGGAGCTGGAGGGTGTAATCTTTATTTCTGGAAGTGATGCACCCTGCTCAAAATCAAAGGAAACAAGCCTCCACCTCTCTATCTGCCATGGTATCCCCAGACTGGGTGGGCACACACTGAACACCCAGTACATTTACTGATCATTTAAGTCAGAAACAGAGAACAATTTGATCATCAAGATTTAGGGGACATAGGAAAGGACAGATACATAGTATAAAAGATTATTTTCTTAGCATTAGTTTGAAATCTCAGTGGAACTTTTATTACTGCTTATGCCTGACTTTTAGCTAAATCCAGTAATTTTTAAATCATATTTTATTAGTACATGTTTGCATTTCACACAGTTTGCAATCATCTTGCAGAGTGGTTACATGTACAAACTACAGCTTGTTTTTTTTTTTTAATCCCATTCTCTTTCCCTTCCCCTCCCCATTTCCTCTCCATTTCCCCTATCCCATTGTCATGGTTTATGTTGGTGGCCCCCAGGCTTCATGCTTTTGCATTATGCATTTGTGATTGGTTCATTGTCTAGAATTTGGGTTGATGGTGTTAGTGCTGCACCCACCTAGGGGTGAAGCCAGCCATAATGGCAGGAAGAAGGTGTGTCTCACTCTCTTGTGGGTTTCTGCCTTTCTGTTTGCACCCACCATGAACTGTGGCCCTGCCATGCCATCCTGCCTGGGAGCCAACTAAGTATGGACTGAAACCTCCAAAAACTGTAAGAAATAAATACTGTCTTTCCCAAATTTGGGCATCAGGTATTTTGTCCCAGCGACAAGTAAAAAGTAACTAAGACACCCATTTTTTCATTCTTCTTGATATTAATTGTAGCTCATGTTGTGGTATATAATGTTTATACCCATTGAGGTCATTGGGTTTCTATACATGTTTTATCTTTATTCTGTTCTCTTCCTCCATCATCTCCTCCACATACCTTGAGCTTTTTCTGTTGGATCACTTCCACATTGTAAGAGATTTTTCTCCTTCTCCTTCATTGTTCTGTTTGTACTTTGCCTCATTCAGATGAAAGTACCATAGAATTTAAGCTTGTGTGTGGTTTAT